TATATATATATTCGGAACAAGTTAAACCTATGTACAAACAAATTCTTCACACTATAAAGATTATAGGCATATCATAAACACTATTTATATATAGAATTCTCTTCTTGTTGTCAAAAGCCCACTTACGTCTATTCAGTTGCTTTAGAATTTCAGTTCCCAAGTCGAACTATCTTCTCTATTACTATCGCATTAGTATTCTGTGTGTGATTCACTTGCAATTGTGGCGCGAGTTACCGTAATCGTTTGGTTTTCTTTCTTTTCAATATCCCCTGTTCCTTTTGTCAAAGTGCACTCAGGCTGATTCAATTACTTTAGAACTACGCTTGGACGGAATAAATTATCATTCTTATCTTCTTTTCTACCGTTAATCTTACCCTAACATATTAAACGCTAGGCCTATGTTAATCATTAAGCCTATCACTCCTACGGTAGTTAACTTCACGCCGAACTTTTCCTTGCCCGTAATTTTACTCTGTTCTGCTATTGTCTGTCTGCTGTTTCCGCTCGTCTCACACTATTTATATGTTTATCACTTAACCGTCTGCCTGCTTTCTAGAAATCTCTATATTTTCGACGTCAATGTATTGCACGCGACGTTCGATAGTCTCAACATCAATGACTGATAAACACAGCTTCCTACAATCGTCTGCTTTTAACTCTTATTATAACAAAACTAAACAATAATAGAGCATTCACTCACAAAAATAAATTAATCAATAATATCTAAACTAAACAGTCTTTTATATCATGACATACTTATGGAGCCGTATTTGCAAATATGATGTTGAAAATCAATATAAAATGTAATTATTATTGCATTATTAACTGGACAAAACATCAAGTCAATGACGTCATATATCTATATATATTATTAAAACTAAAGTATGTCTTCTTCCTAGCTGTCTCGGTTCATTTATATATACTGAATGAACTAGTATAAAGTTATATGAAACTTCGTAAAAAGTTCTTGACTACTTAGACCTGCAGCCACAGAGGGATACCTAAATAGCAGCAAGTTATTTCTGGTTAAGTTCCAAAATTCAATAGGCCAGAACGGACTGACACACTGAAGACACTAATAAAAAAGATATTTGTTTGTTTGTTTTGAATTTCGCGCAAAGCTACACCAGGGTTATTTGCGCTAGCCGTCCCTAATTTAGTAGTGAAAGACTAGAGGGAAGGCAGCAGTCATCACCACCCACCGCCGACTTTTGGGCTACTCTTTAACCAACGAATAATGGGATTGACCGTCACACTACACCGCCCCCACGGATGAAAGGGCGAGCATATTTAGTGGGACGGGGATTCGAAACCGCGCCCCTCAGATTGCGAGTCAAGCGCCCTAACCATTTGGCCATGCCGAGCCAAAATAAAAAGTGTATAACATAAATCTTTTATACACGCTTAACACTGGTGGTATGGAGTTAAAAACACCAGGTATTACAATAAAAATATCAATAGGACATAACAGGGAAGGGAAAAGACAAACATCAAGACTCTGACGTACGCATTGTATAAGAGTAGGTATAGAGTCCACAATACTGACGCCAAAAAACTGTACAAGAAAACTCCCTCATGGAAACAGGAGCGTTTTGTTTGTTTGTTTATTTGTTGTAAAACTTAAGGCTCCACAATGGGTTACCCGTGATCTGCGCACTGCGGGTATCGAAATTCGATTTTTTAGCGTTTTAAACCCACTGACTTATCGCTGTACCACCGAGGTGGGAAACAGGGGAAAATAGGTAAGGTAAAACTACGTTTGAGGGGGAAATATCAAATCAGTTCCATGAGCAGGACATTTTTTATGATAACACTTTAACTGATCCAGGACTAATACAATAACCCAGTCATTTAGTACAGGTAACGCAGGGTGGATTGCCTGGTTTTTTTGGTTATGTCTATGGTACTTGAAACCTACTAAGGACAGATAATGTAAATATCCTCACTGAGGGCTTTATTTATCCGTGTATTTTAAATGATAATTCCTTATCCGATTCAGTCTCTGTTTGTTATTCTATCCAGTTTATCCATCTTCTCTGTTTACATTTATGTTGTCCGTCGACTACACTTTCAATTCCAAATTTTCTGAATGAAAATTGATTTACATATACTAAATTTGTCAAGTATTATTTTATTTCAAGTTACAGCTTTTAAAGAAAAGGAGAATATTTTAAAAACAGATACGACATTTCGATCATTGGTGCGATCATTCTCTAGTGCACAAGTTTTAACGGTAAAGAACGAATTAGTGGTTACTTGTGCATGAGCATATCAATCTGTGTGAATTGACAGATTATTTATTTATGGCTGAACAGAAAAAACAAATACAAGTGAATAAATATAAAAAATGTGGAATATGCTATGCGAAATATTTGCATAAGATTAGGAATGTCTGGGAAAATAACAATCAAAGGCATATAAAGATGTAGCTGGATATTTGTTAATTGCGGGATTGTTTGATTTTATTAATAAGGCTTCTCTGATCTTTCTTCTGTTAATGTTAGGTTCGTATTTTAATATTCTAGCATTCTGTTAAAAAAACTCTGGTTGATTTTGTTCATGCGTTCTTGGACTTGGGAAGGGGAATTTTGGTGTTCTTTTAACCTGATCTTCCAAGTTACGTCCTGTTTCATCTGTGTAAAAGGCTGGGCAATTGTTACAATTTATTTTGTAAAGGTTTCCTGGTGGAGTGGGATCGTTATATATAATTTACTTAACATGTGTTTAGTTTTCATTCCACTGGTAAAATGAATGTAGGTATTATGTTAAGTTTATATTTATAGAACGAAAAAAGTATTTTCTACTTCATGATAAGTAGCCATATAACAATATTGAAGCAACACCATCATGACACATTGATCCAATATTCAAGCAACACCATCATGACACATTGATCCAATATTCAAGCAACACCATCATGACACATTGATCCAATATTCAAGCAACACCATCATGACACATTGATCCAATATTCAAGCAACA